TCCTTTTCCTCTGTTTCCAACTACGGTTACTGCATCGAACACTGAAAGCTGTCGTATTTTTATCCATCTGGACCACATTACTTAGCCAGCGCAGCCGTTGGTTCTTGATTCGCTGAACTACGAGAATGTCAAAGTCGCCATATAACTCGTATAGTTCCACGTTCCATCGGCTGCGGTGTTCGCCATTCTCAACTCGTAGAGGTCATAGATCTTTCGCAAAACTTTTCTCTCGAAAACTCCTAACGTCGACTCTTCAGATTTTGTCATCGTTTCTGCTTCCGCACCATATAGCAGGCCGGGAGCGGTGAGGGACTTGTAGAGTTTGATTTTCGTTCGTCGGGAGAGGACTTTACTTCTCAATCGCCTACTTAGTTCAAAGTAGCAAATGTTGGCAAGAATGATTCTATTTTAAGTTTAGTGGCTAACATTGTTATTGGTGTTAATATTGGTTTCAAGATAGATAAAGGTAAGACTATCAACAATGACGAACCCATATCTTTCGTTCTCTTATCCAGCCTGGAGAAAGCAGAACCCATGGCAAAGTTGTTGAAGTCAATAATTATTGCAGCCAAATTATTGGCATTGAAGCTTGTAGATCACGCCAAATGCAGTTTCGCGCACGTCGTCCGAAATCAGTTGCTGTGCCGGAAACTCTTTGTGAGAGCAAGATTACTAAAGGCATTATGGAGACATACATGTCTATGACATCGCAACAGTTCTTGAAGCGAAAATTTAGGTGTATGTAGGTAACAGCCGACTATAAAGGTATTTAAATATGAACCAAATCCAACAAAAGTTTCCGGTTTCTTGTAAAAGCTGCATTTATGACAACTGCACCACTGAAGTTCAATAAATTTTGTTTGCCAGTTGTCTGTCAAAAAAAAAAAAAAAACAACCGGACCAAGAAAATCAAAAACCAAAGACAGATCATTCTCTATTACCACAATGGGAGCTCTCACGCATCAAAACGCATTTTTAAGCACTCAAAACATCGATTTGATGAATCATCCAGCGTTTTGTGCCCACTTAGCGCCGAATGACTTCTTTTTCTTCTCGTACCTAAAATATAAACTGAGAGGTCAACGTTTTTCGAAACTTGAAGAAGCGGTTCATGTGTTCTTTTGGGCGCACCCTTCATGCAAGTGGCTCAAATGTATGAAAAAGTATAAAGACTTTACTGGAATATAAATATTATGAAAAAATAAAGTGATTTGCTATGATTACTGTCTGTTTTGGTGGCTGCGATAGTGGGGTTAGCATAGTGTACTGTAGGTTCCTCTATAACATATTGTAGTTCGGCCGAAAACCACTTCGCTCAAATCCCGAAATATAAAAGGCAACCCTCGTACTTTCATCATAATTGATCTGTATTGTAGTGATTGTCAACTCATGAAAAATAAAGATGCAAATTTGCATAGCAATAAATCTTAGCAATAAATTATGACAACAAATCGAGTAGTTGAAAGATTGAATTGTCAAGCGGCGCATATTAATTTAGTAAAAAATTCGCGAACAATAGGCAATTCATCGATCGTGAGTGATGTGCTGTGCTACTTTAAGTTTATTTGGATATTTTTTGTACTAGTTTCAGAGTGGCAGATTTAGTAGTGACTTCAAATTTTATGTAAAAAAATGCAATTTTTTTATTTTGGCTGAAATTTTTTAAAATTTATATATATATATATATATATATATATATATATATATATATATATATATATGTATTTAATTTTTGTGCTGACTATTTTTTAAAATTGTATTTATTTTTATATTTATGTACACTATGCGCGTTTTCACTGTCTATGGAAATTTTGGCGGTGTATAGATACAAAGGTGTGTGCGTTCAATGCTTAATTTCAAGTTTAGCTAGATTTGAATTTACACACCAAGTCACTTCTTCACTTGCTTTCTTCCAATATATGCCTGAACAGAGCAAGTTGGTCAATGATTAAAAAATGTTTACAAAAAAAAATAAATAAAAATATTTAAAAAAAAGTGTTGCACCTACTTTTTGTGGCAGGTTTCTTACTATAGAACTGACCCACATATGTATCTATGTATGTATGCGTATATAACATATATGGCGTGCACTCATTATTCAAAGGCGTAAAGTGGAAGTGAATTCAAGCACAACACGCATATAAATATGAATTTATATGTGCACATGTATATAAGTATATATAACATTTACATATGCATATGTACATAAAAGAATATGACAAAGCCGACATTATTTACTTTTATAGCCGATCAAAATGTAAAAAAAAATATATATATATATACAGTATGTATAATGTGCTAAATACAGTTATCTATAGTAAAGCGCTTAAAAACTCGCTTTCTGCCTCCAAACATTCACGCTTACACCTCTACAAATAAAGTTATAAAGTTGTTGCTGTTGTTTCCTTTTTTTTTTTTTTTTTTTTTGTTTTTTTTTTTTTTTTTTTTTTTTTTTTTTTTTTTTTTTTTTTTTTTCTTTTTTTTTTTTTTTTTGTTTGTTTCGACCCGGTGTAGCTGCGCATGCAACTTCTTTTAACTACCTTGAAATTTTTAACTTGTTGTTATTGTTGTTTGGCGACATTGTTTTTACTTCGACGACTTTAGTTTTGTGGCACGTTAATCAGCTACTACAACTTTACAACTCATTGTTGTTGCAAAGTAACATTTTCATTTCAGAGTAAAACTACTATTTGTTGCTTTTTTACTGTTGGTTTGTTAATATATTTTGCTCTTTTTGTAAAACAATTGCATTTAGTGCATACACTTGACAATGACAATTTTCACAGCCTACATACCCACTGAGCAGCCAGTCATACCCCAAGGCAATTAGTTAAGTGATAAAATGTCACTTGTTATTGTTGTGCAAGTTTTATTTGCTTGTAATATTGTAATGAGTGGGGCCTGTAATGTTTTATTTTTGCTTGCACGTGAAATGTTTGCTATAAAGAAAATGAATTTTAGCTGAACGACACTAAATGATTTGCATCCTAAATGCATATTTTAAAGCTTCAACCTGAGATTTCTCACAATTTAAGTAAGGAAAAAGTTGTCTCCACCCAGACTGGCGGTTAATATATAATTAAAAAGTTGAGTCTCCAATTCGTAGAATCTTTATAGACGAAATATCATAATCTATCGAAGTCAAAGTCATGGACTTAATGAGTTTCATTAGGGAACAAAAATGGCTGGAAAATAAAGCTTGATGGTCAAGTTTTTTTTTGCCTCACAATCCGGGCTTAGTCAGGCTTAAGTGAATCCGACAAGATAGTTCTGTAGCCATCACAATCTAACCCAAGCTAAGGTGAAGTGCAATACACTACAAGAGAATTCTCCCTAATACATATTTATACGCAAAAATCTTACGTTCACTTGTAAAGATCCGCATTACCGACCGATTGAATTGAAAGTTTGTCAGATTGCATCTATGATTCTTTAAAATGTTTGAACGGGAAATAGACCAGGGGCTGGTTTATTCGAAAAAATCTTCTTTATGTTTGGAGTTACTTAAAATTTGGTGCATGGGTGGCATATTGCTTAGATAAGACTCAAACCAGGGGTGATACAATTGGAAAAAATTGTATTTAGGTTTCGATTTACTTGAAACTCCATGCATAGTTAGATTCAAAAAAAATCGTATTTGTAGTTATTTTTGCTTGGATTTTTTTACGAGTGGATGATTGATTTCTTTGAAAAAATGTGCATGAAAAAAATTTTTGGACGACATACCTAAATGGAATATTTGAGATTCCTGGAAGTAGAGCTTGGGACCAAGTTCGAATTGTGCTTATTGAAATTATGAAATGGATAACCGACATATTGACAATAATTAGCATGATTTGAATATAAGCAGAAATCGTGCGTAGCTATGCCGGTCTTGCATCCTACATTATACTGCGCCTCTCATACATTGATTGTGATTAAGCGTAGACCTAAGAGGCGCGCTTAATTAATTCGAAGTTTTCATATTTATAATTCAATGAGAGGCTTTGTGCGGCGTAACACGAAACGAAATAGACAAATAAATAGTCACAACCAAAATATAATAAGTTAAAATTTGAAATTTTTCACTTAGAAGATGCTTAACGTTCTTTGCACTAACAACTGCAGTAAAAATTGAACAAAGTACGGAAGGTATTGCAAGGTATGGCCTTGTATTTTATTTGTTCTCTATTAATTTTTTTACGCTTTAACACATTCATTAAGCTGTGTTAGTAAGCCTTTTTAAAATTGTATGTAAATTGGTTTAAAATTCGGAAATGTGTACTGGAAAACAGTTAAAATTGAGTTATAGTTTATCAAAAAATTTAAAATACTTATATTAACAATTGTAAAAATTGGTTGATTTTAAATTAAGACAAAGAAATTTGCCATTTTTATAGCGATTTGACTAATCTCACATATTTTTTTTGACGAAAATAAATTACTTTTCGGCACTGGTCTCTCGAGCGGGTAATTTTTTCGAGATCCCAATAGTAAAAAGCAAATTTTCGTAATTTTGTGAAGAAGAATTAAATTGTTGCTGTTGCTAAGAATGTTTAATTATCAAAATTTATACTTGTATTGTTGTGTACTGACATTCGGAAAGCTCGGCTTCATAATCCGGTGCCACCAACTTCCAAAAGTTGTAGAAAATTAATTTAAATAAAAAATTAAATTCAATTTTCTAATTGCGGTCACCCCTCGGTATAAACATATAGTTACGGAATATTTAGGAATAATATTTTATTAAAAATAAAATAGGAAAAAAAAATTAAATCATTTTGCCTCACCATTTTCAGGGGCAAATAGCATCTCTTAAGTTAGCCGCAAACACTAGTAAAACATCCCTCAAATACCAATACAATTCACCTACTATTGGATTGGATTGGACTGCCCAAAACAAATGTTTAACAAATTTTCACTTTCCAATGGTTATAATTATCGTGTTTCTCGTTGCCTGTTTCTCGTATTTCTATTTCTCCTTTATTAATAACAACATTTATTACAAATTTTACACTTACCATTCGCGCTCTGTGCTCTTGCTGCACCACCAGCGCCAACACCACCAACACCTGTCTTGCCACCAGCTGCGTTCAATGTTGTTGTTGTTGCACTCCAACAGTGTGCAAATGGTAACAATGTCGCCAGTGTCAATGTATGCGCCAGCAGAGCGAACACATAATTCCGCCGTGACCAATCCATTGGGGATTTATGCCGCAGCGAAGCTTATAATTTTCCACAACAAAGTATCAACAATATATCGTTGTTGTTAATATTATTGTGATTGTTGTTGTTGGTGCTGGTGTTTTTGCTGCTTGTATATAGTCCACGCTTGTTGACAATGTATCAGCAGCAATCAATTTAATGGGAGACGTAAAATTTTGGGCCTTCACTTGGGTAGCTGTGATTACAGTTATATTGTAAATGGGCGTGCGAGTATTGTTATTTTCGAACGTTTATAATTTATGCGCGCTAATACCGTTATTTTTTTGCTTCTTAAGAATAGCAGTGAAATTTTTTTCAAAATTTTTTTTTTTCATAAAAATTCATACAAAAAGCCAAATATTGTGCGTGGTTTAGAATTCATGTGGCTTTTATCTAAATACAATTTTTTTTATTTATTTATTATAATTTTTTTTTATAGAAGTTTTAGGTCACATTTAGCGGTATAAATGGACGTTTTAGTGTCTTGACCGCCTTCAAAGCGACACTTCTTGGTCACTCGCCAGACATTCTGCTTGACGCGCAGGCGCACATACACACAACAGCACACTCGTTCGTATCGTTTATCTATTCAGAAATACATTTTTATCGCTGAGCGTTCAAAAGCATTGCCGCGCACACATGTTCACACATAAATTATGCATAATTCTTGTAATTTTACAACAACATAAATTTCACCGGCAAACCAGACGAGTTTCAATACATTTTTTCTTTTATTCCCCACAAGATTAACAGCGCAGCAGCATTAGTTATGCTGTGATCTCCGCACGTTAGCTAAGCGTAAAAGATTCGTAGATTCGTTGCAAGCGCGACCAAGTTCAAGGTAAGATTAAGCCATGACTCGCATACGTAAGAAGCTTTATACCAAAGCCAGTCGCTGTGTGCACGGTAAGTAAAAATCGCATTACTTCTTTTTAGCAGAGAGCCACCTGGAGAGAGTGAGAGAGTGTGAGAGGGAGAGAGAAATTGAATTTCATATCGCAGTATGAAATGTAGGCAATGACGTTTGAAGTTTTTTTATTTTACTGAGAAGTTCTCGCCAGCTGAGCATAAAATTTCGAGTCTCGCACTTTCAAGTGCCAACCAACGACTTAAGTGGCAAGCAGCAGCACTTTTAATTTGTTGTCCATTTATTTTTATGAGACACTATAGACAATACTTTTTGGTTAACTGCGTGAAAGGGTTGATGTTTTACGGTAAAGGTTTCAAAACTTTTTTCTCTCCATAAAGTGGATGTTATAGCACACAATTATAACGTCTAGTAAAACTGGTAAGGAGTCAACAAAGCCAGTAGGTGTCATTAGGAAGTTGGAGTCGTAAATTTGCAAAAGTAGCAAAGAATTAAAGAAAATAAATACTTAAAATAAAAAATAAAAGTAAATAAATAAAACGTAATAAAAATATTTTTAAGTTAAGTTTCTCAAGTACATTTAGACCAACAATAAATTTCAAATAAAGTTTATAATTATTTAAATATACAGTTTTGCTGCTACTTGTTACCCAATTTTATTTCACTTCGTTAAACTTATTCACTACCTGCAATTATTTTTAATGTCTTCCTTTCACTTTAATTTTTTTATTTATATTATTGCTCCCTTTTTTGTTTATATTTAATTACCCTGACATATGGTATCATTTTCTATTATATAGATTAATAATAATTATATAAAATATATATCGATATATCAGGCGTACAACTTTACTTCCGCCGTTTTCCGATAGGTGGCTGTATCGGCTGAAACTGGTTGAAATACATAGATGATAATGCCTTCAAAGTGAGTGTGGACAGTGCCTAACAAATTGTCATCGCCGTTTCAGTTGTTCTTGTTTTCGTATTATTCACGCTCGAAAATGTCCGTTTATGTGCCTAATTCTCGCCGTTTGCGGGAAGTTTTACTTTTCTGTTACAATTCAAAAAAAAAAATGCAGCTGAAGCGCATCGAATGCTCTCAGAAACTTACGGTGATGCTGCTCGGAGTGAAAGAACGTGTCGGGAGTGGTTTCAATGAATATTCACGACGCCAAGGTTATGATTTTTATTTGGTGGGATCAGCTCGGTGTTATTTACTACGAGCTCTTAAAACCGGGTGAAACTATCACAGCAGATCGCTACTGAACGCAACTGATGCGCCTTAGTCGCGCGCTAAAAGAAAAGCGGCCACAATATCAAGAGCGAACTGACAAAGTCATCCTCCAACACGACAATGCTCGGCCTCACGTCGCAAAAGTGGTCAAAAAGTACCTGGAAACGCTGAAATGGGAAGTCTTTCCCCACCCGCCGTATTCCCCAGATGTCGCCCCTTCTGACTTCCACCTATTCCGTTCGATGGCACACGGCAGATAAACATTTTCAATCCTTCGAAGAATTGGAAAAATGGATTGCTTCATGGATACCGTCAAAAGAGGACTCCTTTTTCGAGCCGCGATCCGAACAGTGTCAGAAAGATGGGAGAAAATTGTCGCTAGCGAAGGACGATACTTTGAATAATATATCTGTAAGCACTTTTTCGCCATAAAGCTTTTAATTTTAGAAAAAAGAGCTCCAAAAATCGCTTCAGCGGTTAAAAAGCGCTAATTTCATATATATATACCAGCAGATTCTTCATAGCGTTGCTGTTGCTTTCAGTAGTTGGACCTATTTTTAATCTAGTTGATATTGTAAAGAACAATGCAAAACTATAATTAAGCAACATCTAAGTCAAAATATTAAGTTTTTTTTATTATATGATTGATCTTAATACTTATTTGTTTGTAAGGAGACTTCGCCACTGCTAAGAGTCTAGACGTAGTCACACTCAAGTTTAACTCTTAAGAATAGTTTGTAACGCACAGGCCTAGAATAATAAAATACTTGGCGGACAAACTTAAGCGCGATCTATGTTTATACTCAAATCACACAAAAGGTTTGTCAATCTGTTGGTTATCCCTTTCCAGAGCACATCGAAATGGTTCCAAGAGTTTGCTCGATTTCCCGGAAAGAAAAGTATTTTATTATGGCATGTCAAATTTTACTAAAAGGGGATCGATCCACTATCAGTAAAAAAATTCATTTCGGGAAGGGAAGAGTAATCTTTCTGTTGATCTTAGAAGAAAGCCATCCATAAACTGAACAATATGATATGATATGATAAATATGATTTTTTCGAAGTTGTCGTCTTGCTAATCTCCCAAAAAATCATCGACAAAGACTGCTGGATCGGTCCCCTTGCGGGTTAGGGTTTCAAGAATTTACACGCGGTAAGGCATGCTTGTCGTAAGAGGCGGCTAAAATCCAATAGTTCTCGCGACGGTCGGATCTTTATGACGGAACGACCCGGACTTTCATCCGGCCAAGGACTGTCACTCCCGCAACAATCCCCAAAAAGTACTTTGGGAAATCTTTTTGAGGTTACAACAACAAAAACAATAACTGCTGGATCGGTACCACGAATTTTAAATGCGGCCCAAAAAGGGGCTCGAGTGAATTTTGCTCAAATATTCCTTACACACTTTCACGCCACTCCTTAAGCTTTTTATGCCATCGAAACTCTTGAGCACGACTAAGAGCCCTGTCACCATGCACTTTTACAATTTTAGCTTATGTTTCCGAAGCCCTTTTGCTCACTTTGTCGCAAAATCTTATACCGGCGCGTTGCATTTGATTTCGTTTTTCCATATTCTTGACGAGCACCACGAACACGTGTTTACTCAAAACGACGCAGCAGGCGAACTAAACAAAATGGCAAATAAATCATTGATGAGGAGAAGGATACTGAAAGAAAGGAAAGTAAATTTCAAGGTCACAGAGTTACCACAATTTCGGCAATACCATCAGTCTCATTACTTAATTACCACACCACGTATGCCAGCTTTCCGCTGTTCTGTCATTGGCTGAGAATACTGGAAACTTTATTTAATCTCTGTGCCTGTTTTCAGGAGATGAAAGAAGAATTTTAAGTTCACTCTTACTTTACACTCACTGTTTGAGAGAACATTTAATGGTCTATAACTTGTCGTGCTTAGCGGTGCTGTTAAGCCTTGTTACCAACAGCTTTAAGCAAGTATCTAAAGATATAATCTCTTCCGGTAACTTTCAACAGTATCCCAGCATATCACCCTCCTTCGGTGACATTAGAAAGCTTCCAATATCGTTGGTTCCATTATTGTGTGTTAAGCCTGTAAGCTCTTCAACCGTACAGAGGTCAAATTTACAGTGGTAAATGCGGCGCAGTTCTTGTGACTTTGGGACTGGATAATACTGGTGGTCGTTTGCGCAGGCTGACATGTATATCCATGTAACTACATATGTACTATCTTGCCTAATCGACTTTGACAAACAGATCGGTACGGCTTCGTTCAGGGATTGCCGTATATTTGTTGATGGGATATTGTAGTATTTTTTATAGTAATTCATCACTTCTCCTTTGGCCATATGCTATTGTGTGTGTCTGATGCCACCTGCTTTCCATTGGACGTTGTCTATCTTCAAATTCAAGTACTTTATCTCATTTTGCGCCACACATAACTCATATCTCATCAATAGTCATAACTAAGATAGATACGTGTGATATTCGTGGTATTTCTGACATTTCTGACATTTGCAATTGATTTCTTTGATCTTCAGCCTATTAGGGAAAACACCAAATAACTGAGTAGAAAATTTTCACTAAACGCGCACACACACACGCACACTACATACTATGTTGCACGTAAATACAGTTATAGACGAACGAGGTTACTGTGTTTCCCAACCGCCGACTTGTAAGTGGGCCCCCCCGCACAGAACCACAAAAATGATTATCCAAAGGAACATCTTTATTTAATTGGTAGATAATGCTAAGTCAAAAGTCTTTAAAAAATAAATAAAAATTAATTCCACACACAAAAGGGAAGGAAGCGTAACCAGTCAAAAGGGAAAATATTGAAAAAGCAAATAATGATGATAATTTTCATGGTGGTTTTTCTGCACTTATGCTACCGTAAGCAGCAAGTGTGAGTGCCATGAATGGGACGAAATGAGTTGTTTTTGCAGTTGTTGGTGTCTTGGAAATACAAACACACTTACTTTTTTTTCTTATATATATTAATGATACATTGCGTTCGCCGCCGTTCAGCTATTGCCCAATTATAGTGTCTCCATAGAGCACAATGTGTATTTAAGTTGCTACCTGTCCAATTGGTTGACAAGCAATTGCCATTGGCTGAGTGGCTTGGAGGCTGCACAGAGGCTCATCGATATCTTGGCTGTCAAAAGGCCAGCTAGTTCTCAGCGTTAGACATATTTATCTATGAATGCTGGTGACAGCGTTGTGTTGGTGGCGAAGGAAGTGAGAGATGTGTCATCGGTTGGAAGCGGTGGTGGGCTTTTGTGGTGTATAGGTATGTGGTGTTTTCTTCATTGCTACGACCAAACAAGAAGTGAAATTGTCTGCCCACTTCCAGTTTACATATGTATGTACCTACGTGTACACCGGTATTAATGCAATTATTTTGCTTATAATTTATTTTCCAATCACTTAAGAAATCATATATTAAAGACAATGCGGCTCAAATGATGATCTTGGTTGCGGCAAGCTTTGTTGGTGGGCATATGCTGTATTTTTATTTTTATTTTTATTTTTATTTTTATTTTTTGTTTTTTTAGTTATTTCTTATTTATTTGTTATTTTTCCCTCGTATCTATCTGGTTAAGGAGCGCGTCAATAGAAAGAAAAAAATACCGCATGCATTTCACTTGCCACAACCGCAATAACAACTGAAACAAGAGAAAAGTATCAAACAGTGCCTGTTAAATGTTTACGTACATACAGACGTACATAAGTACAAGTCAAAGTAGTC